TAGAGTGGCCAGAGATGACCACTGCTTCTCCACTGTAGTATGGAAAACCTGTGGACAAGGAATCTATTTGTCTTCCACAACCTGTTCAGCAAACAAAGGATTGGACTCCTGACTGGTGGAGGTAGAGGGTTTCTCCTCCTGCACCGAAGTGAGATTGACGGTGGTAACAGCCTTCATTAGTAGAGACCTGAAAAGAGAAGGATCAAAAAGCCCCGTAGTTGACGCCTGTTCGGGCGTTGCCTCCTCATCCATGGGCGTGTCAGTTATCTCCAGGTCAACAGACCCCTTCTCCCCTAGCTGGAAAGAAGTCTCAGAAACGCCTGAACCAGGGACTGTGGTACGACCCGTTTGCGAAGGAGGAATAGAAGGAGGTGGTTGAAAAGGTCGTTGTCCCCTGGAAGACATGAATTGTATAAACACATTGTGCATGAATGACTGAAACTGATCTGACCACATGTCCCTTTGTTCCAAAGAACTCACCCCAGCCTCCGCTGGAATAAATGTGGCCTCGGGGCCTAGATGAGTAGATGATGATGAGGAGCAAGGGGGACCAACTTGCTCAGTTTCCCCCTGAGGAGACCAAGCCCTTGGGACATCATGAGAAGGAACAAATGAAGGCTCAAATGGAGAAGTGTCCAATGGAACAGAGGGAACCACTTCAGATTCACTGGACCTGAGCCTTTGGGCTTTGGATAATTCCTTTTCCAGTGCCAAATGTCTCCTCAAGGCCTCTCGCTCGGCTGATTTTGACGGCTCCTTGGTAGAAATGTGTTTAGTCTTGGCCTTTTTCTTTCCCCCCGTGTCCAAATCAGTAGATCTGCGCTTTGTGCAGGGGGAATACCAGAGCCCTGTGACGCCTGGGGCAAGGAACTGTCTGCCATTGCAGTCTAGATAATCCAGGTAGGAGATATCCAGAAGTGGGGGAACCCAAACACGCAGACCTGGTTGACAGAGATGGAAAACCGATCCTCACTCTGCACAATAACAATGGCAAGGACAGCCAGACAGCTCTCTAGACCTGCCTGTCTAGGCCAGTGACAAATGCCACTTCCTATGTGGAACAGGTGGTTTAAACAGTTCCCCTTTGCTCAACTCACACCAGAATAAGAATAGGTGACAGAACCACCAATAAGTAATTATAGGAAAATTCCAATTCAGGTCAGAATCAAACCTGTGATTCGTATGAAACAGGCTGTAAAACTTCCCCCCCGGTTAAAGGCCTGGGAACACAGGCCAGTAGCAAATAAGGCAGGCCTCAATGTCTGTGAGAGGAAACACGAGGTCCCCACAGATTTTGCTTACGTGCCTAGGACACACTCAAAATGGCGGCCGCGTCAAGTCACACTCAAAATGGCAGCCGTCAAAGCCACACTCAAAATGGCGGCCGCCTACAATAACCCTCTCAAAATGGCGACCGCGTCCTGTGCATGCGGTCAAAATGGCGTTTACGCCTGCTCCTGGCCTCCGAAAAGGCGAAGGACGCCAAAGGAGGGAATGGGGGGAATCAATCTCCCTGTTAGGGCAAAAACCCCAAGGAGCAGCAATTTAAATAAGCACTCTCTCCCAGTCACGGAAGGAACTTGCTATTAGTTGCGCAGCCCCCGCTGCGATCTGAGTCCTGCGGCCAGGAGGAGCCTCGCTGCAACAAAGCCAGAAAGGAAGTCTCTGATCGGCCTGAGTCTCAAACGACTCCGATCTCCAAGAACCAGCTGGTAGGCTGGTCCGCGCTCCGCTCGAAGAAAAAAAAAAAAGGTTTGCAGCCTTCTTCACAGGAGCCTGGAAGGCTCAAAGCCAGAAGGCCCCTTGTAAATTTAGGATGTAAGTCTCTGCCAATTCGATCCCAATTTCAACAGAAAAAACAAAGGAAACACTGCACCCTAAATCCTAAAAGAAGGATTAACCTAATTAGAAGAAAATACTTTGAAATAAATGCAATTAACTTAGCCTAGTTAAGGAGCCAAAATTTCAGCGCCTTGCTGAGCACAAGACTAAGTCAAAACTGGGAAGACACACCCAGAGGGAGGCGTGGCTAAAGTTCTGACCTAATCTCTTCTGAGCAGGAAGGCTGAAATAACCCATCCAGTGGATTCTACACTCATCATGCTGGAGAAGGATTATATGGAAGCAAGTTCCAAGTGGACATACCTGGGCTTGGAGTAGAGCCTCTTTTATACAATTTTGAAAAGTATACATTTCCTTGAACCAATCATGGAAACACATCCCCATTATAAATTAGTCATTAAGAGCAACATCATGCATATATCTTCAGGGGGTCATAGTAACACAATTCAGATAAAGGTTACAACCTAAAGATTACAAAGTATTTAAGCCCTATATTTATTAATAACCTTCCTCCTTACTGAAAACATTCCTAAGCAACTTGATATTAGGGTCTTGCCCATCACCTTAATACTTAGGAATTCCTGATCTTTGGGACTATCTTGTTGTATACCTTTATTATTGGTAACTATGGTAGGTGAGCTGCTTTATGATCCATGCTGAGGTCTATGATCAGGTGCATAAATTTCTTCTAAGGAAGGTCCCTATTTCTCAAATCAAATGCTGCACTGAGATCTATAAAAGTTGTAAACAGGTGTCTGGCTTCCTTTAACTGTTTATTTTTCTATTAAATGGCATAAAATGAAGCAGTTATCAGTAGTGGGGTGAACTGACCTAAGAGCACTTTGCTTTGGAGGAAGCAAGTGCTTTTCCATTACCCATTCCTCAATCTTACATAAAAATACTTGCCATACAGTTTTACTACAATGTCAAATAGGCTAATTAATTTATAATTTCTCTTTTTGTAAATGGGAACCTTAATAGAGGGGTCCCAATCATCTGGAATTTGGCAGGAATTATTCATATGGGTATATAAACTTGCAAGTAAGGAAGCCCACCAATCAAATAATTTTGGAGATAGAAGATCTTCTCTGGGATTCTTGTTGAGCATTAGGGTCTGAATGAGTTCTCTAGTTTCTTGTTCAATCACCAGAGAGCATGATGGAGTGGAGTTACAGATCTGTTGATCATTTTGTGGGTCCTCTAGTCCATTAGTCCAATTCGGGCATGAATTGGCTGCAATATTCTTCCCATGTGGAGGCGGATATAGGGGTGACCAAGGATAAGCTACATTCTCACAATAGTCCTGCAAATGGGTGCCAGTAAAAGGTTAGGTGGGTTTTTGTTTGCTACCTCTAAATTTAACAATAATGGGGACAAGTGATGAGACTTTATGCAGATTATAGTTTTCTTGTACTGTTATCTGAGAGGTAGAATGACAACGTGATTATTATTTGATGAATAGTTCCAACTGTAAAGGTTGAAGATACCATAAAAATACATATGAAATATAGTCATGCTGACCACATGACCAAGCAAAGTCAGACAATGCTGGCTCCCTTGATTAAGAAATGGGAATGAGCATTGCCCTCTAAAGCTGGACACAACTGGACAGGGGAAACCTTTACTTTATACATACATACATACATGCATGCATGCATACATACATACATACATACATACATACATACATACATACATACATACATCACCTTAACTGGAGGTATTAATAGCAAAAGCATTTAGGCTGGTATTAATAATTTGATTCTAGCCTTTATCTTGGGGTTTGTACTTGTTTTAGTTTATATGTCAATATCACAGACCCCAAGATAATGAAAATAGTAAAAGGAGACCTCAGATAGGCTTCCAGTTTATAGCCAAGATATGGTGTCTCTGTAATTTTAAGGAAGCTATATTCTGGAATACTCCTTTTTATCTTTGATTTCTTTTTTAGAAAACTCCATGTTTGAGTTATAGGAAAGGAACATAATGTTTTTAAAATACTATTTACATATCACATGTACATTGCAGAAGGTAAGTATGGATGTTTAATTATAGAGTTGCTTTCCATGATATTAGTGATATTAGAAGTACATAAAAAGCACACTTAAGTTTTTATTGCTTATCTATCCGAAATCCCTCTACCGTGTTATACATTTGAAGAAGAAGAAAAGATTTGGGAAAATGTGGTAGAAGGTACCCACAATGTGTGTGTGTGTGAGTTACATTCACTACCAAACCTCACTGCTCCACATATATATGAACTGTTTAAAGAGCTAATGGAAGAAAACATTCCCAACAATCTAAATTGATCCTGAATGGCGACAGAGAGAAGACTCAGTTAAGAACCTGTGGCCTAGTAAATCAAATTATTTCCCAGCTAAAAGTCATGGGTTTGCAATGCCATATTCAGAGGTGCCCAATGTAAGGTTGTTTTTCATGATTTAGACACTATAATGAAAGAATATTTGCTTTCTTTGTATTTTCTTATTACTCCAACAAGACAGAAATCTTAAGAGACCATTTAGAACAATGTGATCTTGGATGTGACCTAGATAAGACAGTTGCTGTGATAGGATAGCTGCATTTTTGTTATAGATTTTTGTTGTTGTCAAGGTTTTATTTTGTTATCAACTTGCTACTGCTTTTAAATTTTTACCAATGAAAATCAATCTGAGTGGACTGAAATGTATCAACCTTGATGCTAAATACAATCACTGAAATTTAAGTGTGCTTTAAAATTTAAGAGAAATTGGAATTGTTAGAATATTTTTAGTTTTTATATTATAAAATTTAATTTGTGCATTTCTGAGCACTTTTATCAAAGCTTCGAAATCCTGTCTCATTTTGTTTTCCTTAAGATTTGTTAGCCATCTAACTTTTCACTGTTCATAGGCCTTGAAAGTAGCTTACCCAGGGCAGTGAGATAAGGTGTACATTTCAAGGATAGCATCTCATTAGATAAATTATTCTCAGAAAATTTAGACACTCAGGCATGGTAGGAAGATGTTCCTTATATGGAATGATAAGAGGGTGGAATTGGTTGAATGGGTAAGGGGATGGCACTGTAAAGGAGGAGCTAATCATGGTGTATATAACCTGTGCTAGAAGAAAGGTTCTTTGCAGCTTCACACCTAACAGCTTGCTGTCATCATATTTAGGTGAAGAAAAAAGCAACTTTATGCAGTTGGCTGTTTTCTTGATCCCAGCTCAGAATCGGATTTGGTAAGAAATAAAATATTCCAATAATACAAACATTATAAGAGAAAAAGAACAATAAGTATTCATAATTCATAAGTAAAACTAAAATTGAGTTTTCCTCTTTCAAATGAAATGAGCCATAGGGAGCAAAATACAGTTGGTGTCTAAACTGCTTTTTTATATAAACTGTAGCAACATTACATGAGGACAAATATTTTTATTGTGTAATAGATGCTTTGTTGTAATCATGTCCTTAAAGAAGATATGGATACCAACATATCTAAGACTGCAAGTTAAAATCAATTTGCACAGTATTTTTCCAAATTTAACTTTTACATTGTTAAGTCTTGTTGAAGAACAAGCTTTCGTGAAGAGATTTTGCAGAAGTATTTTAAAATGCTATGTTTTTTTCTCAAGTATAAAACTTTATTGCTATAAAACCTAGTTATTATAAATGATTTGTTAAAGTGGTAAAATTTTAAGTATATTTGAATATAACCGTTTCTTTATTTTTAGAATGAAACATGGTAAAAATTTTGAAAAAGTCCTTTAAGGATAGTTTGGAAGATATAAAAGAACGAATGAAAGAAAAGATAAATAAAAAACAGGCAAAAATGGATAAAGCGAACCAAGTTTTACCTATTAAGAGTAAAATTGCAGGTAAGTATTTTAATATTCTCTTTTTCCTCCCCCCCCCCAAAAAATATAATTTTTGAAGTTAAAATTATCCATCTTTTTTAGATAATTCTATGGCAAAGTTGAAAAACTTTCAAGCAAATAATCGTGCTTTAGCTTTGGCTTTAGAAGAAGAGAGGAGTAAAATGAGGGAAGCACAATATATCATACTATGTTTAAAGAAAGAGTGTCAGAGCCTGAAGTTTCAGAATTTTGACCTACAAAGAAAGCTTAAATTACAACAAGAAAAACAACGTGCTGAGGTATTTGTTTTAATATGGTTTCAGAAAATAAATTATAAATAATAATTTTAAATTTATATTGCTATCATTGTTTTGATTAATTTATTTTTACTTTTATGTTTAAAGAAGCTTCAGAATGTTAATAGATTTTTTTATGAAATGCCCTTTATAGTTATTTTATTTTGTTTTCAATTAGAATGGATTCATGGTAATGAAGAAGATTATTTCCAAAGTTGTTCAAGATCTACTCAGTGCAGCTAATATTCTTGATTCTTTAAATGATGTCTCTACTGCTGCTTTTGTAAGTTTTTTATTCTCCTCTTTGTATGTGCATTTGTAATCTGTAGGCTTGAACTATCAGTGCAGATTACTGGAAAAATATTTATACATTCAATGTTCTTGACCTATTGGGATCTAAAAATTGTCTCAAACCTGAAATGAAATTCAAGTATTCAAGACTGAATTATTTTGAGAAAACTCCAAGTGTTCTGTCATCTGAAGTTGCAGAAATATATTGGCTAAGTTGCAGTAACAGATTGTCTTTGTATATGTTTATATTTAATTGCTCATATCCTTTTGGACTTCAAATAGGATAACTCTCCTATTTTCTTCTATAAACCTCAAATGTTCTCTTCCTATTTTTTTACACCTACTTTTTGCAAAAGTAAAGTGATAGCACTAAAAATGAGATTTGATAATATGGGATTTATTTTAAATCTTTTTCTTGTCCGATATTACAGCTAGTAACAGATTGAAAAACAAACTCCTTATACTGGTATATGATGAACCTAAACAGAAATTCAGTGTCTTTATCTGTAAACATTAATTCAGTGTTAAAAACATGAGCCATGATGGATATTTTGTAAAATTTGAATTGCACAAGGTGTTTCTATTTTTTACAATGTCCTACTATAGTTTTAATTCCTCTTACTGACCTTTGACTGGCAGAATTCCTCTTAGTGACTTTTCACAGTAAATTGATCTACAAATTGCTACTTGAATCCATGTTTATATGTATTTTGCAAATATTGTATCTGACTAAGTTATGGATACCTAATAATTTTTTCCCAACTCATATTTAATTTTTGTAGAATACAATTCAGCATGACTTTGAACATGAGGAATGTGCCCCTGGAAGTTTAAAGAAGCATGATGCTTTGTAAGTATACTTCATGAATTTGGATTTTTAAACAAACAATTGCTTTTCAAAATCTTTTTAAAATGGATAAAGTGCTTCAGTCAAGGCTAATTTAAGCAGTGTATAAAACCAATTGACACAGTGGATTCAGTAGTAACAAAAATATAATATTAAAGTATAATAAAATTATAATTCTATTACTACCCTAAAGTCACTCAAGTCCTAAAGAACTTTTGTAATGGTCAACAACTTCCAAGAGAATAAGAACAACCCTACTAAGGGTGAAGTTAGATGTATGAGAACAAGTACAAGCTGATCCAGAGAAAGGGATCAGGACAAAGAACACCTGTGTTATGAGCTGCAGTGGGGGTGGGGCTTTCCTGTCACAACTCTTAATAGTTGAGCACTTTCAGCAGACATTCTCAGTCCTTGGATTAGATGAGCAAAGTCTATACTGAATAAACAGTATCAGAAAAATCTGGGCCCTGACAAAATGCAAAAAATAAATTCCACAAGGCAAATATATTTTGAAGTAGACTTGAGGTGATTGGCTGTTTTCAATTTATTTAATATATAATCCAAAAGGAAAATAAGGGTTTTGTATTAATTAGTAGATTAATGGTTTAATTTTATTATTCCAGGAGGAAAAGTAACAAAGCATTATAGTACACAAAACAAGTTTTAATTATTATTATTATAATCATTTGTAATAAGACACTTTATTAAAAGATACTATATATCATGTATGTATTAAAAGTATATTTTGCTTCATGTGTAATACAATAGAAGACAGAATTGTGATGTTGGTGACCTTAATCTGAGAGGCAGGATTATTTAAGAGCCCTCATCTTTAGCTCTCCTCCCTCTCTACTTGATGTATTTTTTACCTAACTTGATCAAGTTTGTTGAAGAACAGATTTAATAAGTACAATCTTGAAAGTATTCCCATGATTCAGAGATCAGCAGCCATATTTATTGGCATTATCCCATGAATTTGTGCACAATCACAAGAAATGTAAAAATTAAAAATGACTAAAATAGTCTAAGATCTATGCAAGAGCACAAATATTATAATATTGGCTATAGTTAAAAAGAATATATTATTTTCTTCTTTTAATTAATTTTTAATGCTAATATAGATTTGGGCATATCCTAGAATCTTATATTCTAAGTGTTACAAAAAATCATCAGAGATTATGAACCATTTGATTTTACAAGGTTGTATAATATTTGAAGTTTGTATAGAGGTTTTTTTTTCATTAAAATGCATGAAAGTGTAAGTTATATTTGATATGAAATTAGCATAACTCTTCTTTTATTTCATCTTTTTAAACTCTTAATAGTTGAGCACTTTCAGCAGGTATTATATCTGAGATATTCAGCAGGTATTATATTTGAAATATTCATTCAAATTTAAGCAGTTTTAGAAAAATGAAGAAATTTAACGCATGCTGGTTCAGTGGAACAAACTGTTTTAAACTAGACATTTAAAATCTATTCCACCTATCTTTCATAGGACACTTCTAAGGCATATTCTTGCTGTAGAAATAAGTAAAGAAGATGCAGAGGAAATACAAGATAAAGTGGAAAGATTTTATTCAGATAGTGACTTAAATTTCTATGGTAACATTGAGAATACATCTTCAGTGTCTCAGGCAGATACAGGTGAGTTATCCCAAAATTAAGTTTATATAAACTGAGGTGAAAGCTTTAACTAATGGTTTATGCATATTAAGGTTAATTATTTTCCTATTTACTTAAGAATTGTTCTTAAAGTTTGAAAAGGCTCAAACTATATTTTTTGAAACTCATTTGAGTTTCAAAAAAATTGTAATATGTGAATGAAAGAGTACAATATTCAGCTTCAGTACATAAAAAATAGCTAGTAGGATTCTAGAAAAGTAAAACATGTCAGCCCTGAGTAGGAAATATATCTATTATATTTTCAATATGAAGGGTATATATATTTACAACAACTTCAGGTTTTTTTAATACAGCATTAAACTGCATTAATCAATACAGCATTAAACAAAATAAGTAGAAAGCAAATACATATAATTAATCTAATCAAAGTTTTGGTCTATAGTTCAGAAATCACAGTCACACATTAATAGTTTTGTCAAAACTATCTGAATATTAAACTGGGACCATAGCAGAACAAACCCATGTCACATGTATGTGACTCCAAATCATTTTATTTTTCCAAGATAAAAGAATTTGATAACTCATTTTCTCTGCAGTGTCCAGTAAATATTTAAATAGTTTGTACAATTAAATCTCATTTAATAAATCTAAAAATATGTTTAACATTCTTTAAGAGCCTTCCTTATTGGTTTATCAGTATGGAATATTACAACTCCTTATTGCAAATGACTTATAACCATTTTAAAAATATAATTTTCTGTAGGTTTAAAAAATTTTCAAAACATTTCTGGACAATTGATAATTTATAGATTTTAGATGCTGCTAAAATATCTATTTAAATTATCTTTTCAAATTGTGAAGTCAGATTTAAATGTACTAGAATGCTATATTTTTTTAACATTTATTTATTTATTTTGGTGCCTTCATGTCAGTATTGACATATGGTGACTGCCTAGACTAGTCCCTGCAGTTTTCTTGACAAGATTTTCAGAAATGGTTTGCCATTGTCTGTTAAGTAGGGTTGAATGGGAGTGATTCACTCAGCTGCATTTGTGCCTAAAGCAGAGTTAAAACTCAGTGACCCATTTTTTTAGCCTGGTATTTTAACCACTACACTATATCTCCAATTTATGATCATTTTGTTCAACAACCATTCAAAGTTAGGATGGCACTGACTAGAGGGACTTAACTATAGTCCTGGAAGTTACAATTGTTATGTCATCTAGTTATATGATCAAAATTTAGGCACTTGGCAGCTCACCTACACTTATGACTGCAGAATTGCTTCATCTCTCCCTACCTGAATATCTGCACCCATCTATGCACTTTTGGGTTTCTGCCACCCTAGCTGATCTTTGCCATCTTCTTGTCCCTATTGCTGACCAAGCATGCCCAGCCAGGCCTTTAAGACTTTCTTCCCAAGACCACTGAAGTGCAGTTTCCTTGTTAGGCCTGGGGAAGATGACCTCAAATGGCCAGCAGCTGCCTGGTGAAGAGCCAGAGCTGGCACGCCTCATCAGCAGTGAGAGCAAGAAAACAACAAAGATCAGCTGGGATGGCAGGGTCTCAGAGTGCAGGATGGCAAGGATGACTGGCTGGGACTTTTGGGGGGCAGCTGAGGCTTCCTGGGGCAGCTACAGTTTTTTTGCCAAGCTACTGGGGTGGTTGAGGTTTCCCGAGATAATTGCAGCTTTGTGCACATTGCTGGCATTGCAGGATGGCCGGGATTTTGCAGCATACTGCAGCTCGGGCTTCTTATAACCCAGAACTGCAGTGCAGCATGGCAAGCAGCCCCAGAGCCACATTGTTCTGGGGCTTCTTGCCATTCTGCAAGGCAGGATGCAGGATAGCCAAACAGGCAAAGATGGAGGAGAATACAGTCCAACTGGAGGGTGTTGAAAAGGGAGGCAGTGCCTTGAAGAACTGGGGCTCGGGCTGGGAAGGACCAAATCTGAATGGGGTAGTTTGGGGTAGATCCTCAACTATTGACAATTAGATTTCAGATTGTTGGCACTAAATGATGCTGTCACATGACATCACACTTTATGACCATATTGTTAGCAACAGAAATTCTGGTCCAGGTTACCATCATAACTTGAGGATTATCTGTACACCAAATAGTTCCTACAATGACTTATTCATGCCCTGCCTTGAGTGAAGGGATAAAATATTCATGCAATTGACAAGCAAAGCCTGGGCATGATGCTGGTGCCTGGGGGCAAGACTTGTAAGAATGTCAGGAAGTTTTATGGAGACAGGTTTAGCAGTGGGGAGGAGAGGCAACAGAAGAGGAGTTGTGGAAGCAGAATATGCATGTGCACCATGGTTTACTAGAGTCTATGGGGAAGCGACATTTTAAGATATTACTAATTTTTAAAACCTTAAAAGCTCCAGTCAAAGATAATCAGAAATGCTCAGTCGTGGTGAATCTGTTTGGATATTAAGATCAGGAGGGCAGGCCATTCTGAAAATGCCCCATTATCAGAAACCTGCCTTTCTAGCAAATAAGGAGTGTGTTGCCTCCTGGGCTACTTTCCAAGTTACGGAACACACTTGTTTGAAAGTTATTTTTGGCCTACAGTTTTGGTAATTGAATATTTTTTTAAAACCATCTCTTTTCCTAGCCTTTGAGATGGTGCCTTTAATTTGTTTTTACTTTTTAGAAGCTGTTTTTCTGTCTTGCTAATACAAAGAGATTTGTAAATTAAAAATGTATTTAAATATAAATAATCCATGTATCATTTGATTGGAAGAATTTCATAATGACTATAGAATTTCATTATGATTTGCATCTAATAAATTTTATTCACTATATTTACTGTTTCCAAGATAGTAGAACCTGCTACTTAATATGGAAAGTGTGATTTATTAAATCTATAAATTTGCTTAACTTTCTATAGAACATAAATTATTTTTCTTTAAATATAGCTTTGCACCTCACTGATGCTTACTTTAAATTCTCAGGTTGCCAGAATTATTCCTGTGAAGATCATCCAGATCATGTAAACTCTGGGAGCAGAATTATTTCAGTTGAAGACAGGCAAATTGATTATTCTGTAGCTAAAAATGTTTCTACCCGCCGCCGTTATTTAAAAAATAATTCCCTCAGTGAAGTCTTTGAATCAGATGGCATTCCAGATATCAGTGTTGATCTTTCATGTTCAAAGAATAATAATGAAAATTGTGAAGAAATATCTATTAGTCAGGAGGACAAACATAGTGTAAACATTGATAAAAGTGAATCAGATATGCAAATTGAATCTGTTAAAAGTGAATCAGATATGCAAATTGAAAAGGCCACAGCCTTTTCAGAACAAAATAATTTTAATAATATTGGTGGCTTTAAAACTCAGAAAGGAAAGAGTCAGAAGAGAAAATTGGTAACCACAAAAAATATACCCAAGGCAAGATCCAACAAAGACAAAAACTGCAATAAGCATGCAAGAGCTAAACAAAAAGCAGATATATCCATTCGTTCCAATGATGCTTATGATTTTATTAGTGAAGAGTCTGTTCATATAACACCTTTTCGGCAAATCAAACAAAATGAACATGTTGATGACACAGATTATACAGAAAAAGCAGAAATCTGTAGTGGTGAATCATCTGTTTCAGAAGAAGATCCTGACGATAGTCTCTATGTGCCTTACTCAAAAAAATCAAAATCCAACAAAACTTTAGATACTGGAACAGATGTTATCCCACTACACACAAAATCACGATCAAAGAGAACTGCGTCTGAGCCACATGATAGAAATCCTGAGGGGGGAAATAGGAATATCGAGATACCTGAATCTCATTTGGGTAAGAAAATTCTTGCTTTCAATGTTTTTTTGATTGTTAAAGGAAATATACTAGTTTAGAACACAGTTTTCAATCTCCTGTACTGGAATCAAAAATAGTAGATAGTTGCAGATTCTGAAAAGTTTGTGCATTATTTGCTAATATTTTTCAAAAGAGGGTTTTTTTAAAATAAATATGCAGAAGTGCATTGTTTCCTTGCTCTTGCCCTTGCAACATAAGCTTTAAAAAATGTCTGTACTTTGAAGGTAGCCAACAAAGCATTGAACTTTTGTTTTAAATGAACAAGCTGTAGTGGTCATAATTTAAGAACTAAATATTGTTTTTATTCAATAATATAATTTTAAAGGTGAGTGAGTTTTCTTCAGATTAGCATTGCCTGAAACGGGAGTGAATAATAATGGTAACAATTAGGAAAAAAAGGTGACAGTTCTTTCTATCAACAGATGAATCATCTGAGGCAATTCATAAACATCTTAATGATATTACCAATGTTGTATCAACTTCTTGCCAAACAAGAATTTCTCAGCCACCCTTCAGTACTGCAGCAAAAGATACTATTCACCAAAGACGTAGAAGTACTAGTTATGTGAGCTATAAGGAGCCAAGTATCAGTGGGTTGGTATCTTTGTTTTTGAAATCTTTCAAATGTCAATTATATAGTTTTATCATGATTTTTCCTACTGTAAGAACTACATTAATTTCACATTTTTGTTATTATTTGAATTGTTTCAATTTATACATTTTACAAAAAAAAAATCTAATTTGTTTTGATAGGAAACTCAGAAGAGGCGACCCTTTTACGGATACCAGCTTTCTGAACTCTCCCATTTTTAAAGAGAGAAAGAACACCAAATTGCTTAATAAAAAGTCGCTGTCCAGATACAATGAAGCATTTGTTGGTTATTAAGATATTTTTTATGAAGTATATTTAGCTCCTCACTTATATTATGCTGAAAGTATATTAACTAAAATTCTGGAGATGGAGCTTTTGCATATGTTTTTCTGATCTAAATTTATGAATACTTTGATAATATATGATAACACACATACACTGCCTTCCAGAATTTATTGATTCAGAATGGTGTGAATAACCTATTATCATTTTAGGAGAGCTATTTCCTGAACATGATAGAAAAAGAAATAGTTTGGAATGCAGATTATCATTTATTTGCTAACAAATGCAGTTCATTTTAACAGTCTGTCATTAGAAATAAAGTTAAACTCTTGTTGTATCTTCTGAACTATTACTTGCTTATATGGCATTTATAATAAAATGTTTAGTAATTTTGATAAAGCTAATTTGTTTTAATTATCAATATTAGCATATGTTTTCAGCCTCCATTTTCTTGCAATTATTCTAAGTTTGTAAAAATAACCTGAATGTGTTGTCCTATTCTGTAGGTTTATTATGAATAAATAAATAAATAAATGAACTCTGTAAGACAGTGGTTGTCAACCTTTCTAATTCCGCGACCCCATAATAACAGTTCCCCATGTTGTGGTGACCCCCAACCACTTATACATCTCCGGGTGCCGTGGGTGTGGCCACCAAGTGGGCATGGCCACCATGTTGTGGTGACCCCCAACCATAAAATTATTTTCATTGCTATTTCATAACTGTAATTTTGCTACGTTATGAATCGCAATGTAAATATCTGATATGCAGGATGTATTTTCATTGTTACAAATTGAACATAATTAAAGCATAGTGATTATGCTTTCCTCTTTCCTCTCCCTCTTTCTCTCTTCCCTCTCTTTCTCTTTCATCTCTTTCCTCTCCCTTTCTCTCTTCCCTTTCCTTTCTCTTTCTATCTTTCCTCTCCCTCACCCTTTCCTCTCCCTCCCTCTCCTTTTTCTTCTCCCTTTCTCTTCCCTTTCTTTTTATCTTTCCTTTCTTTCCTCTCCCTTTCTTTCCTCTTTCCTCTCCCTTTCCTCTCTTTCTATCTTTCCTCCCTTCCTTTCTTTCCCCTCTCCCTCTCTTCCTTTCTTTCCTCTCCCCCTCTTCCTCTTTCCTTCTTTCTCTTTCTTTCTTTTCTCTTTCCTCTCTTCTCATTCTCTCTTCTCTTTCCCTCTTTCCACTTTTTCTCTTCTCCCTTTCTCTTTCTCTTTCCTTTCTTTTCCTGTTTCTCTCTCTTACGGCAGTATCGTCTGGGGTGCCCGCCGCCCCCGGCCTCTGCGCGTCCTCAGCCGAATGGGCGGGAAGGGGGAGCAGGATGGGAGGCAGCAGTTCTGGTGGTGGTGGCCCGGCATCGTTGGGGTTCCTCGCCACTGCCCCCGGCCCAGCCGCCGCGTCCTCAGCCAAAGGGGCGGGGAGGGGGAGCAGGACGGGAGGCAGCGGCTCCAGCGGCATCATCGGGGTCCCTGCCGCCCCTGGCCCGGCCGCCGCCCCCTGCTGGGACTCCGCGCTGCCTGGCCTCACCCTCCACCCATTGATGGAGCCGTGGTGGAGGCAGCGCCCACCTGAGCCGCCTGGGGGGCAGCAGGAGGAAGGAGAGGAGGGCGAGGAAGCAGTCGCCCTAGCCGGGAATCCGCGCTGCCCGGCCTCGCCCTCCGCCCATCCGATGGAGCTGCGGTGGGGGCTGGTGCCGCGCGGCCCCTGCCAGCCCGGTTGCCCCCCAGGCACCCCTCTTGCCCCGGCACCGTGAGCCGCTTTGGAGGAAGAGGAGGGCAAGCTGCCGCCAGTGCCAGTCCTCAGGAGGCAGCTCTCCTCTCCTACCTTTGCTGAATCTCCTTCCTTCCCAGCAGCCTGGATTCCGGCGCGCCTTCCCAGCCAGCGGGTCCAATGGTCGGGCTGGCTGGGGATCGCAGGGGCTGGTCTCCCTTGGGCCGCGGCTTTCAGGAGGGCTGGCCCGCTCAGCGGAGCCTCCAGCGGGCCTCTCTCAGCAGGGATCCCGGGGCTTCCCTGGGCAGCTCCAAGGCCACGAGGCCGTGGCCGCGCTTCTCCCAGGGGGTGGAGCACCCGGGCGCAGGGCCAATCAGGAGCCCTGCAGGAGGTAAGTCCGCCTGAGAGAGAAGGGAAGCGAAAGTGCCTCTCTCTCTCTCTCTGCAAATGGCGGAGGAGGCAGTGCAGAGACAGATGCGGAGTGGTGTCTCGGTTCCTAATACCATCGGAAATATGTGTTTTCCGATGGTCTTAGGCGACCCCTGTGAAACGGTCGTTCGACCCCAAAAGGGGTCGCGACCCACAGGTTGATTGAGAACAGCTGCTCTAAGAGTTCTGAGTAAATGTGACTTGGTGATGTATCTCGAATTATATGCTAGTATTTTTATTCAGTTATTTCAAAGCAACTATTAAGTTTCCTGATAGCACTTATAGCAAAGAGAAAGCAGAAACATGTGTGCATTTATTTTGGTACAAGAATTTTAACTAATAGTTATATCGAAAATAGCTTTTTTCTTGTCTTTTGTGTCTTTAGATTGTAAGCTTATGGTATCAGTGGTTTAACACTGATACCATAAGCTTACAATCTAAAGACACAAAAGACAAAAAAAACGCTATTTTGGATATAACTATTAGTTAAAATTCTTGTACCAAAATAAATGCACCACATCAGTGGTTTAACACTGCTTTTAAGTAGAATGTAAAAGTCATAAATACATAACATGTTTTGATTTTATTTGAACACATATTAATCTGTATGAAAAGTAGAAATTCCATTGGATTTACTACTGTACGATGAGTTCCAGTTCTTATTGCCTGAAGGTGCTCTAGCATACTTCTATTCCATTTCATAAAATGAGAGGTACTCTACAAACAATGAGTATGTCTGGTATTTTTATAAGCAAATTACAAAATAGCACACAAGATCAAAGTTATACATATAATTTAAAACATTTTATACCAGTACAATAAATAATTTTACAAATGTAAAATTTCAGTTAAAGTATTTAAACACATACTGTGTATAACTTTATTGCACAATATCTATGAAAATAATCTTTAAATTAGAAACCAAAATGTTCTCAATATAGAAGAGACTCTAATTTCAAGACAATAAGAATCTTTGAAAATAACACTTTCACAGGATATCAAGCTTTAGAGGTGACTCTGTTGGCCCAGTTTACAAAATACATGAAAATTACTATTTAAATATTCTAAAACAAAGTTGCATCATTGTACCTTAAATACAAAGCTCATTCTGGTTTATATAAAGCGCTAAGGCATTTCTATATTACTATTTTGTCTATTATGTACCATTTCCTTCTAGCAATGTTCATGTAATCAGAATAAAACATTACAGGCATTGTGCCAAAAAAATTCCTCCTTTTGTAATGTTTGTTATTTTCTACAACAGTTTACTAATGAAATATTTCAGCATGAACAGTGTATACATGTGTGTGTACACATACACATACATACATAAATACTAGGAGCATCTTACTTTCCCCTCCAGTGTTGTGAAATACATTGTAGAACTGAGTGGTTAATGAGTATGGCTTTCCCAATAACTAATGACATCAAATGAAGTTTAATTCTTATGTATAATGTAAGAAAAAGCTCAAATATATATGGAATTAATTAATAATAAAATTCAAATTCCTAATTAAAAAACTAGTATCAGTCCAAGTGGAAGTTGGGGTAAGTAGGGTAAGAATCTAGTCAAAGCTACCTGTATAAAATTGTTTCATCTATGGCATTGGACTGGATGCAGTAAAGCTCTGAGCTAACCACTAAAGTCTATCAATCTTGTTAGTCATGCCTTCAGATTTCAGTATGTTTCCCATCACTTTACAGTTCAAGTAACTGGGAAAATTGTGTATATCAGCATTTTAAAAGTCAGAGATATTCTCATCTGCACTAAAATTAGATGTGGTTTCTTATCAATCAGGTACTACTGATCCATTGTGCAGTTAAGTACACATTCTTCAGGGATGTATGTTTTAGGTGTATATGCATTTATCAACATACTATACTCAGGACTAAGGTCTAAATGAGAATTCAAATTATTGTCCATTCCACCCACTCATCGCAGCACCTACTGTACTTTTTGCAAAATAGTTTTCATGCATAAAGATCCGTACAAATCTATAAAAGACAAAGCTATTGCTAGATTGGGTTCAATAGTAGAAATAGTACTGTTCTAAATCTACTAAAAGACTAAGCAATGGTTTGGAGCTTAACACAAACTCTGATGTCCTTTTCAGAACTTGACCTAAGTGAAAATGATGCTACATTTTCCTTGAAATGCAAATATTAAGAATCAAGGTCCAATCTGGGACCAGAGATTTAGTCTTCTGAGCTATCAAATTTGTGCTGGAGCCCATCCTTGGAAACCCATCCTCAGCCCTGAGGATGGGTTCCAGCACAAGTCCGGAAGCTTGGCAGACTAAACCTCTGATCCTGATGACTCACCAGATTGGATCCTGCAACATTATCTTGGGACACTGTGTATTTGCCTTCATTCTAAGAACCTAAATCATAGAGGAAGTTAAATTTGCACCTAATAAGGGAATTCCATTCTTATAGCTTAAGCACCTTCTCTTAGTGAATGTTTTATTTTCATATATACTGTGTATGTATATGTGTGTGTGTGTGTGTGTTATTTTCATATATATGAAAATAAAATATATTCATTATATATGTATTAGTATTATATATAATTCATAATATATATAATTCATTTCCCCCTTCATTAACATATTTGCTGTAAAAATAAGCTATTTTTCAATCTGATACATTAAGCATAAACATTCACTGCTTGGAAATTTACCCTTTCCAAATCTCCAAACAGTTTGTGCAATACATCTAATAAAAATTGAATACACCGCAAAAGGGCATGCAAGTGTACATTTAAAAATACTTTAATAAAATAAACTCTTCTATATTACATGTTTAAAAGTGCTAGTTAAGAAAATTTTATTTTATAAACAAGTTTCGAATCTAGTGAAAGAACTGCATATTTTGCTGTTACATTAGGCATCTTAATTGTATGAGAAGAAAATTATTTGTCAATTAATCCAGCTTCTTTAATTTTTGTGTAGAAGAATTTCTCCAGTATATTGGCACATTTGTAATATTCACTTTCAGGTGGGTTGTACTCTCTGCAGTTAGTAAATACTCGCTGCATATCTGCCATGAATAATTTCTTACATATGTAGTATCTGTTCTTCAGTCGTTCACTCATAGTTTTCAGATCTGTAGAAGAACAAACATCTTATTACTAGAATATCATCTGATTGTGAACTTCAGTTATCTTAGTGCTACATAAAATCATGGTTTATATACATAATCACACACTAACCTTTTTGCAGCTGAATCATATTTTTTTATAAATTATAATGAATCTGCCATCCAGTTACCAAAAATGAATGTGGTCAGGTATTCTGTTGTTTTTAGGATCGGTGAGTCAAAATAATCTCACTGTAGAGGAGAATGCTGCCTTTTAAAGTACATAATGTTTGGGCAAGAGCAGCTTTCTGTAGGCAGAAAGGTCTGCTTATAAATAATCTATTTCTGAATGAATAGATGAGTGCTGATGACAAGTGAATCCAAACAAAAAAATCCTTTGCATGAGCTCCTACATATGATGCTTCAAGATCATTTTCTGACGTACAGTGCATTCAGAAAGTATTTATACTCCCTTCACTTTTGTCAATTTTATTATGCTACAGCCTGATTCTACAGTTGTTGAAATTCATTTTTTATCATTAATCTACACTCTACTCCATGATAGTGAAAACAGAATTTTAGAAATGTCTGTAAATTTATTAAAAAGAAAAAAAACTGAAATATCACATTGGCATAAGTATTCAGACCCTTTCACAACACGTGAAATTTAATTCCAATGTCCCTCATTTCTCTTGATTGTTGCTGACGTATTTCTACATCTTGCTTGTAGTCCAATTAAATTGATTGGACATGATTTGGAAAGGCACACATCTCTCAACAGGGCCTCACAGCTGACAATATAAAAGCCAGGAGGTCAAAGGAACTGCCTGTAAAGCTCAGACAGAATTATTGCAAGGCACAGATTTGTGGAAAACTACAATAAAGTTTCTGCTGCACTGAAGGTTCCTAAGAGCACAGTGGCCTCCATAATTCTCAAATGGAAGACATTTGGCACAACCAAGACTCTTCCAAGACCTGGTTGTCCGGTCAACTTAGCAATCAGGGGAGAAGGGCCGATGGTCACTCTGAGCTCCAGAGATTCTGTGTGGCGATGGGACAGAGTTCCAAAAGGATAACCATCACAGCAGCCCTCCACTGATCAAGGTTTTATGACAGAGTGGCTAGATGGAAGCTTCTCCTCAGTGCAAACACATGAAAGCCTGCTTGGAAATTGCAAAAAGCATCTAAAGGACTCTCACACTAAGGAACAAGATTCTCTGGTCTGATAAAGCCAAGTCTGAACTGTTTGGTCTCAATTCTAAACATTATTTCTGAAGGAAACTAGGCACCACTCATCACCTGCCCAATATCCCAGCAGTGAAGCATGGTGGTAGCAGCATCATGCTTTGGGAGTGTTATTCAGCAGTAGGGACTGGAAGACTGGTCAGGGTTGACCGAAAGCTGAATGGAGCAAAGTACAGGGATATCCTCAATCCTGTTCTACAGTGCTCAGGACCTCAGACTGGGCTGAAGGTTCACTTTCCAACATAGCAGTGAACCTAAGCACACAGCCAAGACAATACAGGAGTGGCTTAGGGACATCTCTATGAATGTCATAGAATGTCCCAGCTAGAGCCCTAACTTGAACCCTATTGAATATCTCTGGAGGGATCTGAAAATGGTTGTCCATTGACAGTTGCCATCCAACCTGACTTGAGCTTGACAGGATTTGCAAGGAAGAATGGTAGAAAATCCCCCAATCCAGCTGTGCAAAGCTTGTCGCATCATACCCCAAAAGACTGGGGTATGACAGGCTGTAATTGCTGCCAAAGGTACTTCAACAAAGTACTGAATGAAGGGTCTAAATACTTATACCAATGTGATATTTCAGTTTTTTTTCTTTTAAATAAATTTACAGACATTTCTATAATTCTGTTTTCAGTTGTCACTATGGGGTACTGAGTGTAGATTAATGAACTTCAACAACTGTAGAATCAGGCTACAGCATAACAAAATTGACAAAAGTGAAGGGATGTCTGAATACTTTCTGAATGTATCTATTTTTTCTAATGCAGATATCATTAAAGTATGACATTACACTGAAAAAAAGTTTCCGATGGTTGTATAAAGTTGATGGAACAGCACACTTTTACAATTACATATTTTAAAATTTATTTTCATTTTCCATAAATGCCTTCTTAAAATACTAATGGCATTACCCATAGGAAATCTTATAACTTCATAATATCCAGGAGCCTCTGTTCTCTTCACTGGTTCCATGAAAGGCCAAGCACTTTGGTGGCTCTAGAAAAAAAAGTATTACTGATCAATGTTTTATATCAGAAAACATTTAATGAGATTTACAAAAACAAAACATAAAACATACCTTGACCTGTTGTAGAATGTTTTTTAGTGTGCTGTAAAGTTGATCCAGATCTTTGGGTTCTTTACTTAAAACAAAATGCAGACAAGATTATTTTAAATAGCCAACAACCCAGCAATTATAAACTATTAATGACTAAACTGTCCATTTTCTGCTGTTAGAAATACAGATTCAATTATTTTAAGGAATGTATTAATAGTCAATTTGAAAAGGGTTTTATTTAATTTATGTTATCACTTAACAATACTTACCCCTTCTCTTTATTACTTGGTTTCCAGCCAGTCTCTCCTAGGCAATAAGCAAAATTAAAGCAAAAGGCAAATAAAAAATGGTAAGTTACAATGTGTGGTCTGAAATCCATATACTCTGCTTTAAAGAATAAACCAACGTTCAGATATATCTGAATATCTTAAAGAACAAATCACCAACAATTAATTTCTACATATAAATCAGTCAAGAAAGCATCAGTTTTTGTTTTCAATTCCCAAAGTACTATAAAAGTAATAGTAATTATCTATGTATTAATTCTGGCTAATAACAAGAAAATAAAGAACCCTGCCAGAATACATAATTAAAATACACAATTGTCATTAAAATAAATTTTATAAATAATCTAGATCTGGAGAAGAGAATCCAATAGTTTAAAATTAAATTAAACCAATATTTGCAGAAAAGGGTAGAAATCATGACCTTGGCAAGTAAAACAGAACAGCTAAAAGCAGAGGGTACATACTAATTCCAGGAATACTTTCTATGGGAATCTGTCGTACTCCATCTTTGAAACAAGAAAGGCCAGGATAAACTTTCTGAATCTGTGCTTGCTTCCTTTCAATTAATTTTTTAATTATCTGGAATAAAGACAGGACAAAAATAGAACTGTAAAAAGCAATATTATTTTAAATGAGATTAATTTTTGAATAGGTTCATATTTGAACAAATGAATGTTCAGTAAAAAGTGAAAAAAAGTGAATAAAAGGGAATAAAAGGGAATGAAAACATATGGATCTGAAATATATAAATTATCTAAGATATTGATGTTCATAAGCCATTTATCTAATGTATTAAATGCAAATGTGAATGTGGAACTCATCTGCAGCACATATTTATCCAATTTGCTTCTTTCCTCGATAATGATATTGAGGGACACCACTGTCATGTATGATCAATGCCTATATTTAGAGTTGTATTTCTCACTAGCTTTCCTCTTCTCAGTGGCCTTGATAGTTTGATTTGGTGCAGTGCTGCCAAATTGGAAGAAATGCTAATATGGATAGTTGCAGGTGCTGATAACCCTAGGAATCTAAAGTTTCATATAATCAGAAATTTAATTGGGCTCTTCAGATATGTTCAGAATCCAGCCTCATACAGATTGGAAATTAAGGAAGATGTTCACAGTTAACAGTTTCTTTGTTCTCACAACTATTTGCACATTTCTCCCCTCCCGTCCCCAGAGGTCACTCACAGAAAAAAGCAACAGAAGAGCAGGGTAGAGAGGAATAGCAAAAAAAAATTGGCTCAAAATTAAGGGCATATGGAAATCCAAAATATCTGAAAATCTTGATTTTAAAACCCTCATTGCTGGGATAGTTTGTAGAGGCAATGCAGACAAACATTAATATTAGGATTAGTGAGGAATTAGTGACATATTTTGATTTATTAAGACAAGTCTAGAAATGCAGAGCTCATTCTGAGGTAGCCTGCTTATATTGATTTACTCTTGCTTGCTGAACATAGAAGGGGGGGGGCGTGGGGAGGAATTTTCAGGTAACTTCTAAACTTTTGTTCCTATGATAGCCTCAAATTTTTAATTCCCATCCCAGAGTTATATGTGCCAGCAAGTCAAGGGCAGGTCTTGCAGTCTCTTTACCACAGCTGGACTATGAAATCATGGTGCCAAGTTTTGATAAAAACTGTGGGATTGTTATTAGTGGGGAGCTTCTGCAGTGGAACCTAGTGCTGGGTACTGCTGAAAAATTAGCTGCGCATGAGGCATCTCTGTCTATTAACAGCCTGTAAGAGATTTATAATATTATCTTGCTTGGTATGTATGCTTTTTAAGTTATGCTTTCAAATGTGTTTGTTTGAGGTAATAAAGCTTAAAATCCCTTTATTTATTGGCGTGTTCATTGTCTCTAGATCCAGAAGGACCAAATGCCTGGGCATGTGATCACTGCCTTGACATTTGGCAAAACATAATTGGCAATGAAGATGTGATCCAGTGAAAATGTTCTGGTTCTGGCTTTGCCGCTTTTCATGACATCTAATTGGGGACTTAGGGCCACTCATGGTTTTTCAGCTCTAGGAAGGAGGCATTGGCAAACCACTTCCCAAAAAGTTGCCACCAATGCTAAGAGTCAAGACTGATTTAAAAACAAAAGAAAGATTAAGGGGCAATCCCCAGCCCAGGGCTGTCAAAAGAAAGTAGATAATGTTGCTTCTACTTCTGGGATGTATCTGAATTGGATCAGTTAACTGAGAACACATGAAAATAAACTGTTCATAAATTTGGCAGAACTTGTTAGCTATATGCAAAAATTGTGGAAGGGGTAGCCAAAATCCATCTGGCGAGACAATTAAAAATAGTGTGGACATGGGAGCTGAGTGCACCCCTATGCATGGATAGTGTGTAAGATTTCAGAGACCCGCAGCTTACATTGATGGCTGAGAGGTTTTTTTTAGTTCCCTGGAAAGAGCATAAAAGGAGCCCTGAATAAATTGTTTAGTTTGTTAAACTTGGAGGGGTGGGAAAGAATTGCTTCAAACTCTAGTATAAAAATAAGTATAATAAATATCCTAGACGTTCTGCTCCTGAGTAGCTTTGCTAGTGTTAATGAATTGATTAAAAACACCTGATTAATATATATATTTTTTAGAAAATCACTTTTACCTCTTTTTGTTTCTTAATGATGACTGAAAATTCAGTGTAAGGAATTCTTGGATTCAATTCACATCCCATTAAAGTTGCTCCTTCATAATCCTTTATATAGCCGACATATTTTGCTTTTGGTACTTTAATATCTTTTGAAAAGCCCTAAGAAAAGAATAACCAATGTATTTTTACTTGCTTACTGAAGCCATTGTGATATTTTACAGTAGTGATATTTTCCTTCATGTACTTGGAGACGGCAATTCAGCAACCTGACAGACCAGTTACTACCACCCTTAATTTAAATTTATGAAAACATCACATTATATATGGAAGAAACAAGATATACAATATATGTTTTCAAGGTCACCATGTAATTCATCAGTGGTTACTACCCAGAAATAATTACAGCTCCTCTAGCAATTGTCAGAGGCTCTCAAAAACAGCAAGAAGGAGAAAAATATATTACACAGAAGAGTCACATAACAATAGAAAATACAACCCAGGAATGAACTCTTATTATAAAGAAACTGTACAGATTTCTAAAAAATAGAAACAAAACAACTTTAGTTTTTTCAGTGGCCCAATTAATCATTTGTAGCAAAAATAAAATCATTTGCATATTAAAGTTTAGTATTTAATACAATAATGAAAACCTATACTGTAATAAAATTGATTAGCTTAAAATGCCAGAACATTTTGTTTTAGGTTGATTGTATCTTAACAATAGACTTTCAATTCAAAGAACGGTAATATTGTCCTTCAGATAATAAGATCACTCTGAAAGTCTTGTGTGCATCTAATAGTTATTCAAATTTTATTTTGCTACACAGGTTGAAAATTGCTCCCAAAGTTCTACTTACTTGTTTCTTGAAGTAGCCAATTGCATATTCATCAGCATATGTAAGGAAATTGAGAATATTATGCTTAATGTGATATTCTTTCAGATGATTCATTAAGTGTGTTCCATAACCCTGTGGAGAAATTATCATCCAGTTTATCAATTGAGGATTGCAATGTATTAAAACCTTGCTGCTTAGAGTTAGCAGCAATAAAGCAATTTAAATACAGAAATACTGTGGGCTTCTAAGAAGTGTAGGTGAGAACAGAATTTTTCATCTCCTGGCAGAAATAGTGGTTATCAAGTTTTCTTTTCCAATTGCATGAGCTATGTTAAATCCTGCTTCTAAAAACTATTTTCAAAATAATACTTTGCAGCCAAGTCTAACCAGAATAAGAAGTTATAACTAACCTACCTTTCCAGAGAAAATGAATTAAGTGAATCTTGCACGCAAAGCTGCATCTGTATCTGAGCGTATTTTATCAACTCTATATTTATCTTTTTTGTTGTTGTTGCTTTTTTCTATCTTTAATGAGGCATTTGTTACCACCTGCTCCTAGGGTTGATGTTATAATTTCCCCTAATGCCTTTTTTTCCCCCTGCATCATTGTTTTATTTTATTTATTTATTTCATATGGTGTAACAGAATACAGCATTAGTGCATAAAATTCTCAAAAACCACATATACAATGTGTATCAAAATATAAAACACCAGTACAGTGAATCAAGATCACGTGAAGTGTTAATACCACTTTACAATGCCTTGGTAAGGCCACACTTGGAATACTGCATCCAGTTTTGATCACCGCGATGTAAAAAAGATGTTGAGACTTTAGAAAGAGTACAGAGAAGAGCAATAGAGACGATTAGGGGACTGGAGGCTAAAACATATAAGGAACGGTTGCTGAAATTGGGTATGTCTAGTTTAATGAAGAGAAGGACGAGGGGACATGATAGCAGTGTTCCAATATCTCAGGGGTTGCCACAAAGAAGAGGGAGTCCAGCTATTCTCCAAAGCACCTGAAGGCAATGGATGGAAACTAATCAAGGAGAGAAGCAACCTAGAACTAAGGAGAAATTTCCTGACAGTTAGAACAATTAATCAATGGAACAACCTGCCTCCAGAATCTGTGAATGCTCCAACACTGGAAGTTTTTAAGAAGAGACCGGACAGCCATTTGTCTGAAATGGTATAGGGTGCCTGCATGAGCAGGCATTGGACTAGATGACCTCCAAGGTCCCTTCCAACGTTATTATTATTATTGTTGTTGTTGCTGTTGTTGTTATTTAAAAGTGCACAATATGAATGATGAATAAAATGATGAATAAAATTAAATTATGTATGAGCAGTTACTAGAGTGACTAAGCCTATGGCCGGATAACTGAACCGTTTAGCCACTGGACAGTAGTGCCCCCGAGATGATGTAGTTCTTGCATGGATCCAGGGAACCTTCTGAAGGGGCATTCCTTCACTATGTGATGTAAAATTCCCACAGACACACAGCATCATTACTTTTGCATGTCCATGTGAATGTAGTTTTATTATTAGTTCACCTGCTTTAGATCAAAGTTTGTTTGTTTTGATTTTGGACTTTTTGCTCTTTATTATTTAGACAGCTAAGGCATTACACTTAGCATACTGTTGAGGATAAATTTACATGTTCATTCGTTTGGTTAGGTTGTTGATTAAGCAACCAGCATATGACAAAATCAGACATACAACTTCAGGATATAAGTTCCTGCACTAAGCAAGCATAGATCATTATTACAGCTCATTCAAGATCTATTAGATGTTCTGTCCTTTGAATGCACAAAACTTTTTCGATAATTAGTAGACATCACATATTTTCCTAATGGAAATCATTTAATAAAATTTAGTAAATTTTATTAAAGCAATAATTCCATTATTATAGACAGAGTCTAAAAGTTGGGGAACAATTGTTGTTTATTGTCACCAGAGATTTTTCAATATTATAATTTACATTATTATAATAATACACCCCGTGCAATAGGTTGTGACTTTAGGTATATTTCAATCACATTCATCAAAAATAAAAATTATTCTAATTGTGCACACAGTTTCCCAACCATCCCCTTTTATATTATTTGTCTCATTATTATTTGCACTGGGACCAAACTGGAAATAAGATGGAAGACTTATATAGATATTACATTCATTACTGACAGACACAGAGTTGAAATTTCCTTTAAGTGGTATAAGTAGTATTAATTCACAAGAGAATGTTATTTTGCCATATGTTTTATTCAGTCTACTGGTTCCTTTTTAAAAAGTAAACTGTACTTTGAATTATTTCCTCCATTTGATCAGGTTTAGGACTATGAGGTCACATAAAATCCAATTATACCTGTGCATTGTACATTTGTCTGATAATGCAATTAATATTAGTTTTACCTTGACTTGTTCATTAGAAGTCACAGCACAGAAAACTATTTCCGTAAATCCTTGAGATGGGAACATCCGAAAACAGATACCACCAATCACACGACCATCCTTTATTAATGCAAGGGTCTTGTGTTTCCTGTAGTTATATATTTTGACATATAAACCATATACCCATTAATGATGCCCATCACAAGTGCCTTCATAACCACAGCAATTATAAATAAAAGATGTTTTGCATAGATTCTGATACTAGATTGGATTTTATTTTCAGAAGGTGTCCAGAAAACTGATACTCTGACAACATAAAATATTCTGACTGCATTTTTAGATTCCTTTTCACTGATTATCTCCTGTCCCATCTTATTATACTGGAATAATAAGTTTCTTCAAGGCGGAAATAGTTCTATTGAATAATGCCAACTTCTACTCAGCGGCCTGTTTCCAGAGAGAAGGAAAATTGTCTATTAAAACTAAAAAAGTTAGTCTGACTGGAAAGAATTGGATTTTCAGGTTCAAGCCTTTACCAGAATTGTAGGGATTCCTGTCTCCTCTTAAATCAATTAGTCTACTTCTTCCACAAAGACAGAGAACCAATTTTGAACTCGGTCCAGGCCAGTCCTCATTCTTGTTCATGTTACTAGCAGGGTCGATATACAACTTCTAAAATATTCCTAGCAGGGCTTGAATTAGTATGTGATTAAGTAGGTCTAATAGTTTTTCTAGTCCTCTGGAAGTTTGCCAGAAAAGTGAAAAATCTCTCTTCCTGACTGATTGATTTAGTTTCTGGCAAGTCTCCTTCACTGATAATCTTTTTAATACATTTTTTATACTGAATAAATTTCAAATTGCAAAAAAACAAAACCCAAAACCAATTAACTTGATAAAGTTTCAAATCTTTTGAAACATGAGACAAACATTTGTTATAATTTCCTCTCTAGTAATTAGCAAATATCTTAAGGCAACAACAGTCGGACTATTCCCATTGCCGCTGACTATTGACCATGCTTGCTGGGACTGAGGGAAAAATTTTCAATAATACCTAAAAGGCAATAGGTTCCATTTTAGGAAATGTATAGAATATCTAGAACCAAGAATGTTTAAAGTATGAAAATACTGAAAAACATTGACTCAATGTTTCAACTTTTAAATAGCATTTATTTTGTTTAAAAGTTAGATGTATGATAGTTTTGATAATTTCTTAGTAAAGATATTTATTTACATTATTTATATGGGTGCCTAACTTACAAATAATGACTCTGGACAGCTTACATATGGTTAAAAACATCAAAAACAGTGATCATACAAAAACACCACAATACAGGATAGTCAAGGCCAAATCACGACATATTATAATTTAAAGTAATTTCAGGATGAGCTTCTCTGGTACTCTGGCCAAATGCCCAGGGTAAAAAAATAAAATTTCAAGGCCTTGTGTAAGGATAAAGACCCTCTTGTTCCAAAGACAGGCCCAGACTTATCACAGGGAAAGCATACTTTCTAGGTCACAAATAAGTAACATTTTTTTCATGAAACGGACTTGAAGCATGCTCACTCTTCTGCTGAATCTCATGGGGCAGAGATAATTGGAGGCAGGCAATCCTACAAATAGCCAGGTCTTATGTCTTGAAGGGCTTTAAGTATAGTTATTAAGCAGTTAAAAGGGTTTTTTTAAGAAGCAGTACTAAAGACATCTTATTAACTGATAATTTTGAAGAGCCAAACAGTAATATTAATATTACCAAAAGTTGATGTGATAGAAAGCAATTCCTATACCAATTTTCCAGAGAACATTTTGGAAGGGAGCAAGAATTGCCCAAATTGTCCTCTTTCCTGTTCCAATGATAAATCATCTCTATCTGTGAAAGATTAAGTATTGCCTATTTCTTATTATTTGGAACAAACTTTACAATGAATCACTAAATGCAAATCCCAATCTTTAGCTCCATCTGTTAGCCTGCCCAAAGTTTGAGAATTCTAACAAAGAATGCCATAAATTACAACCACTACACTACTTTACCAAATGGATATCTAGCTATCTAGTTAATTAACTTGTCATCTTCCTTTTTGTTACTGTTGTTGTTGTTGTTGTTCCAAGTCCCAAATCAACAGTCCATAGATTTAAAAGCTTGTTTTCAGTTTCTAAAAATGAACCCATTCAATAAATATCCCCTTACTTGTTCTATCTTTCCCTTTAAGAAAAAGAAAGAGATGATACTCACGGATCAAAGACTAGACGAGTAATATACTCTTTTGGCATTCTGGGTAACTGATGTGAGAATACATTTTGTAAGCCAACCAGCCATATCATAATCTTTTTATTTGGTTTTTGATTTAAGGAATTTCCAACCACATGAAATTCAATCACTCCCCTACGCTCTTCCAATCTTGCAGCTTCATCCCGGGCGGAGTGTGCAGACAGAAAATTAGTCTGCTTTATGAAAAAAACAATAAAAATTATTCAGTATTTATTTCAGGAATCGTTTTTTTCCTTTTCATAAATAGTCAATACATATCTCAGTAAATAGAGTTGGAAATCTTTCCTATTTGTTTTAATGACACATACTTCTCTTTAAGGTTGCCTCTCTAACTGAGTAAGTAACATATCTGAAAAATATCCAACAATTCAGGCTAAATATTTAATAATTTATTTGGTGCTTACCTAGGTTTTTACCATGAGAAAAAATGTTTCAAAAATCCATTACAGCGCTCTTGCTATACAAAAGAATATTTCTGTCAATCAGCTTATTTCTAATACTTTAAAAAATGAAAACCCTCATATAATTCCTACTTCAAAAGTAAAACAAAACATCATTCAATGTTACTTGTGTCCTTTAATACAAGGGTCCCCAACTCCTGGGCTATGACCAGTACCAATCCATGGCCCACCAGAAACTGGGCCGTGCAAATGAACGAAGTCCCATCACGTATGGCATCCATGCCCCCCCCCCAATCCATGGCAAAACACCCCTGGCACCCAAAAGGTTGGAGGTTGCTGCTTTAATATATCTTCTCAATTACAAGCATCTAAATATAAATAGTATTAAATAGCCAGGAGATAGTTATTTGTTTTGCATTCCAAAAAACCACCACTAAATTATTTAGTATCAATCACAGTGATAGTCTTCAACGTTACCAATCTTTTTATCATTGTGAAATTATGATGGCCTTGAAAAAAGTGCTTTATAGTCTGTAAAGCAGTGGTGGGATTCAAATATGTGAACAACCGGTTCTCTGTGTGGATGCTACTTCCGGAAGTCCATTCTGGGCCTGGGCAACAAAAAATTAGGTACTGGTTCTGCCAAAGTGGTACGAACTGGCTGAATCCCACCACTGCTGTAAAAGCACTTCTATCGTATAAAATGTTCCTCCTTGTGGTCTGCCGTATTTTGGGCACATGGCAACTGGCTCAACTTTATGGCTGGTTGTACTATCCTGAGGTCATGTGATGGCAATTTGTAAGATTTTCGGCCAGTTTCTAGCAAAAAACATCCTGTTAAATGATACATTTAATTACTGCTTCGAAAAATGTCAAAAGTAAGTCCAGTCACTTGGGTGCCTTGAGTTATAACTGCAATGACTTACAACTAGATTTCTAGTCCCAATTATCATCATAAGTCAAGGACTATCTGTACAATGTTAATGATTACAACATGCAGAAAGAAATGTTCTAAAGACGATGAGAACTAGTACAACTATGCAAATTATGCCTTCTTTGACAACTTGGCTGACTAGCTACATACAAAAGTTACCCAATGTATAAATTCTGCCCCTTCATCCTTCTTACAATTTCTTGAAGGTCCCTGAGACACAAAGATCTAGAAATGGATACATGGAAGGCAAACAGAAGCCAAGCAGGCACATTTTCTCTCAATTTCTTGACAATGCTTAGAGTAGAAAAACATTGTCAACCACTAAACCTTCACATATTTCTCCTCCTATAAACCACAGTTAGGGGGCAGGTTTTCAGTAGTAATGAGACAAAAGACTACAGGGAAAGAAAAATGCTGTGTTGGATTAATTAAAAATTAGCTATGTTGAATGGAAGATAATGAGTGGAGATAGAGGAGAAAAGGGGGGAAGGGGGAAAGGATCTAACTTAAACCAAATAAATGAGAATTTGATATTCACGTATTCTCGAAATAATCTAATGGAAATATAGATGATAAGCCATGTTACAGTATAAGATTTTAGAGACAGGGTTTGGAGCCTCTTTTTGTTTTGTTTTATTTTGATATGATTTGTTTGATTTGAAATATGATTTATTTTGATCTTCTCATATGCTGACTTTTTAGTTGCAAGCTGCTCAGAATCATTTAGTTGAGCAGTCTATAAATTAAGTAAATCTAGCAAATTATGCTAAGATCATGAAGCATTATAAATTTGCTTAAGATGAAATCTTGACTAATTTTCTTCATATGTCTGAATGTACAATATTAATCCATATGAACAATTCCCCTTCTAAATATGAACACATTTTGAAATGCAAATGATAAAATTGAATCATATGCAAAAAGACAAGATGTTTGAACGAAACTAACTGTATGCCACCTATGCCATTAAAAATATCCTTTACGTTAAAAATTATTTTTAAATCTATCATTTTCTAATGTATACAAACAATATTTACATGTCATATATGTATAAATACTAGCAGCTTGATGTGTTTGGATACATTTTACTACTTTTAATAATCCCAGAATTTTTAGCTATGGTCATATTGGGTAGGAATTCTAGGAATTAAAGTCCAGGTAATATGAGGCATCTACTTAGGCTGAATTCTATTAAAGTATTAATAATAAAAAACTGCCTTCAAATAAAAATCCGCTCAATAGTATTGAAATTTAAAAAAATCTTGATATGACAATAAACCTATTGATATCTATAGTTAGAAAATGTAATATGTTATCCTTATTTTTGACATTAATTAATTCTGAAAGGTACATTTCTCACCTCTGGACCAAGCATTGCTGTTGGATCTGTAATGGTTGACATCACTTCATTGATCAGTTCAACAGGAATATCTCCTATAACCCGTGGCTTCTTAGCATTCTCTGAAGAGTAACTTTCATTATTTTTTCTTTTTTCTCCTAAATAATAAAATAATTATTTAACAACAAAATCCAAATGTTGTACATTACCAGAATCAAAAAACATCAAATTATATTACTCATTGTTGAAAAATATTTGATTGTTGAGTTAAAAAAGCTATGAACATCAGTAGCAAACAAATTATATTCAAGAATATGAAATTGGTAAAAGCTACTCAGAAGTCACTGTATTAACCATCTCATCAGGGTTCAACTCTCCATATTACCAATGGCTGGGAGGGGACTACAAAAATCCCTGGGGATTGGGAGTTCCAGAGCACGGGGGCCACAACAAAGAATGCCTAGAAACTTTTATACAACTCAAAGCTTTTTTAGGGAGCATTCAGGCTCTTTGACTTATTATAAAGGACGTGGAGGTTCAATTCTAGCAAGACAGTGCTTGATTTAAGCTAATGCTATACCAGGACTAGTTGAGGACTAAAATATATATGCCTAGGAAAACTACTTTTAAATATAACCAAATCTGGAACCCAATCCACTAAAACTCTTTGGAGAATAACAAAGAAATATCATAATTATCATTCAGTTTAGCATTCAGACAGTGAGTTATAATAATTTCCTATTTATAAATTAATAGTCATTCATTTGACTCTCAGTATAGCTTGTAGCCACATTACTTAGCATTTTTGTTAGAAAACTAAACTGATATGATTTAGGATATGATAAAAGATCATTACCATACATTATGGTCTTGCTTGCATTAGTATTTTCCTGTCTACTCCATAATTTCGGTAAACACGATTCACTATTGTGTTAATCTAAGTATTTTAAGATATCTTTGTATATAGTATTGTTATCCTAGCTTTAACTGATGGCTGGCCTGTTTCCATATATGAGTATGCCATAGTTCTTCCCGAAGGCAATATGAGAAGATCATCTGCACAATCATTAAGACAATTATAGTTGTTGCATCAAAACTCTGTGCCTCATTTATCTATAGAAATTGTAAAAAACACTTCATTACTATAAACTCTTATTGATATGGCAGTATGGGGAACAGTTCTATTCTTCTTTACTTTGTATGTATTTTATTGGCATGGTTTTTGGAAAAAAAACCTATAATATTTACAATTAGCAAAACAGACAAAATCCTTTGCTATTTATATTACCTAGGTTTTGGTCCAGGCCAGAAGCAGATTTGGAAGCAGGACTCATAGTTCCTCCACTAGGTTGTTCCAAAGATGAAGGACTTGAACTGTATGAAACAGATCTCATCATAGGAGGACGGTTAATAACTAACAGAGAAAGAAAGCCAGAGTTGAGGCATATGAAATCATGATGCAGGTGGATGTAGCATTAAAAAAACCACTTCAAAAGATGATAAATATAAAAATAATTCCAGTATGAGGTAAGAATTTAACCAACCATCAATATGGGACATCCTGATTAGCAGCCCTTTTAAACTACAGGCAGCCCTCAACTTACAACCATTTGTTTAGTGACTATTCTAACTTACAACAGCACTAAAAAAAGTGACTTATGACTATTTTTCACACTTAGGTTTTAATAATTTTAGAACTGTATAATTAAGGTTAGCCAGTATCTTAGAGTCTGAAGTCTAACTGCACTGGACACTTGCCAATGATGATGTGAGAGAGCAAGACACACACACACACACACACATATTTATATATATATATATATAACCCAAGAAGAAAGACTAAAGAGAAGAACGAGACTGAGATGCCACAAAGAGAAAATTCCAAGCATTCTGAACATTCGAAGGTGACAGCAACTTCTAGACATCTGAAGCTGAAGGATTTGTTCCACACCAGAATATAGCACATACATCTCCTTTTTTTCCCTTCCTCTCCCTCACAATCTTCACCAATAAATCTTATGTCCTACATGACTGGGAAGAGAGTGATTTCTCTTCCTCTGAAGATGAAGTTTCTACAGGAGAAAGAGGGGCGTTCACCTTTAAAAACACAAAAAAACTGAAAAGTGGATGCAGATCTAATTGCTAAGAACTGCCTACTAACTGCTAAAAGAGTTATTGCAATTTTTAACCAGCTATTAAATGTCAATCAGAAAGTAGACAAACTTTTTCTATAATGGAAAATAATATAACTAAATCTAATGTGAAGCCAGTCACCAATCCAGCTGCTCCAAAACTCTCTCAAAATACTCACAAATGCACAAGTCCTCATATGTATGGAAATTGCCACGGATAAGCTAGTTTTACAATGTCACAGGATTTTGCTGCAGATGGCAATTAATCCTCCCAACAAAGTTAAGTGGGAAAATAGAAAAGTAATACTTCACTCCCTTTCACAACTGCTTCACCGTAGAATATATTCCAGCTGAACTTACTGAAATCTCCTGGCTCCATATGGCAAGGTCTTGACAGAATAATGCTGGCTTTTAGTCATTTCGCACTCTCTTCAATGATCTTTAAACAGATATTTCTTAAGGGATTTTCAAATCACACCTCTGCTGAACTTGGGAAGGACAACCAATCACATAAGGAAGGGCATCAAGACCCAGAGCTGATGAAATCAGCCAGCCAATACCTATACAGCAGAATGTTCCATCAACTCCAAGGTTGGCTCAGATAACCACAATGCCCTTGATTTAATTAAAACAAAAATGCGGACATCAACCGACTCTATGGAAGATGAGTAAGAACTGGGACAGTTATTTGGCGACCTCCCTAGGAAAAGCAACAAAATCATCATATATAAGCTTGAGGCAGTAAAATCAATGCTTTAGCCAGTGACTCTTGCAACTGAGTCTTTCAATACTCTACTACCCCCTAGCTGCTCTTCTGCTGAAAAACTGACAAGTTCGTTTCCAGCATCCCCACAAAACAAAACAAAAAGGAGCTCTAGCCCAAATCACATTGTCAGCAGATAAACATCACAACGAAAGGAAACCAATTTGGTGAACAATTTAATGGATCAAGCAAGCTACCTTGCCGAGTAGAATCCTTAAGGAAAATCCAAGGCATTAACCATTATATAAAACTGAATACATCACGTTCTAATGATCTCATATCTGCATTATCACCAGCAGTAGTGGGGATCACAGATCCAGAGACACCTGTACCGGACCCGAGTCTGTGGAATACTGACCCTCATGATAAAGAAAAACAAAAATTACAATATAGGAAGAAGTTGAATCTCAAAATAATTGTGTATATACCAGAATTATTGTTACCAATACTGATACTGACTCCCCTGGCATTTATAATAAAACTATTTCTTTAATAGCTTAATAACCAACAACATGAAGTAATCTGTGTTTCCAGTATTCCTCAAGATCTGCCTTTAGCAGTGGCCACTACTAGGAATTCAGATTTACAATTGTATGCGCCTAAATTCCTAATTCTCCTTTCATGGAATTCTGCAGGCTACAATGCTGAATCTCTGTGTATACAAATTACATGGCTGAATTCTACTTATTTCTGCTTCAAGAAATCTGTATATAAATGGGTACAAATCCTTTTTACTTTTGCAAATTCCTGGAGCAGGATAAGGCAGATGGTGTTTAAGTGGCGGTTTAAGTACAAGTAATCCTCAACATGATCACCAACGTCCGATAACGGATATAGCACAAGAAGAAGAATCCTCAACTTATAACAGTTCATTTAATGACTGTTCAAAGTTACAATGATACTGAACAAAGTGACTTATGATTGTTTTTCACAGTTATGACCATTGCAGCATCCTCATTGTTGTGTCCTGAGCCTGCAGAAGCAGGCTCGGGATGCTGCAAGAGTCCCGGGCATTGCAAAAGCTGCCCGGGACCAGACTGAGCGGTGCCAGCCTTGCGCGCATGCGCAAGGTGGGAAAAAGGGTGCCTGCTATTGGTTGTTGTTGCCTGGGGATCCGGGAGTATAAAAGGAGGCCTGCATGCCTCTGCTCTTGTTGGTTGGTTGTTGTGACTGAGAGAAATAAAGATCTGTTCTGTAACATGAATTGCCTCCTTCGCCATTTATCCAAGGACTTAATACTGGCGACGAAGGTGGGATTCAGTCTAGTTAGCTAGGGAAGCTTAAAGACTCACCCAAAAGAAGTCCGGAAGAGAGACAACGGCGTTGAAGTCAGCGTCTATCCTGCCAGTACAGCGTCGCTGGAGGGTGAGTGTGGCTGAAGAAAACCCTGTCCCTTGATAATTGCGAAAATCAGTCGCTTATCTGAATTTGATGTCTCCCACCCGGAAAAATGGGAATCTTACGTTGCAAGGGTGGAGACTGACTTCCAAGTGAATCAGATAAGGGAAGATGGATTAAAGGATGCCACAATGTTGTGCATTTGTGGGCAAGACGCCTTTGAGATCACTGAGAATCTGGTTGCCCCGGCCTCACTAGAAGCTGTTTCGTACTCTGATCTCAAGAAACTTTTGAAAGACCATTTCCAGCCAAAGCAATCTGTCATTGCATGGAGGCACACGTTCGAACAGAGAGATCAGCGAGCTGGGGAATCAGCAAAAGACTTTATTGCAGCTTTGAGAAGAGCAGCTAAACCATGCGAGTTCAAGGATTTAGAAGAAAGGCTGCGCGACCGTTTTGTATGCGGACTGAGGAACAGAGACTTACAGCAGAAGCTGTTTGCTAAGGAAGATGTCTCTTTTCAAGATGCTCTGCGAGAGATTACGGCAGAGGAAGCTGCAGGCAGAGCGGTAAAGAATCTGCGGCCCACTCAAAGTGGTCCAGAGACTACAACCATCCACAAGGAGAACGTGCGGGAGGACTCGGAAGAGGATCCTGAAGATGAAGTGGACAAGCTTTATCAAGCATCCGGGAGGAGGCCGAAGGATCGTCCAGACAAGGGCCCAGCTGAGCTTCGATGCTTCAGGTGCGGAGGTCGCCACAAGCGGGCGGAATGCCGGTTCCGTTCCACCATCTGCAGAATGTGCGGCAAGAAAGGCCACATCGCAGCTGTCTGTCTAAGTCGGCAGAAGGTACAACCGAAGGAAGAATTGAATCTGAAAGGTACCAGGGTCCCCAGCCAAAACAGAGTGGGTTTCTGTGCAACACGCAGAAATATATTAAGGATAGGCAAACACAAACCCCTCAAGAAGAAATTGTCCCTCAAAGTAAGGTTGCAAGGGGTTCCATTGTCTATGGAACTGGACACGGGGTCTGCCCTCTCCATAATTTCCCTCAACACATTCCGGAAAATCTGCAGCAGCAGCAGCCAGCAAACTACGCTCAGGCCTTCCAATGTAATTCTTACTGACTTTCAAAATTCCAAGGTGTGCATTAAGGGGGAGGCCACTCTTAAGGTACAGTATAAGGATTTTGAAGGTCCCTTAGATGTGTTGGTTGTTGAGGGTGAACACACGAGTCTGATTGGACTCGATTGGTTTGAGGCCCTGGGAATCCAGGTCACAGGGCTTCACAATTTGCAAACGGAGACCCTAGCAGAAGTCTGCAAGGAGTTTGCAGATGTGTTTAGCTCTGAGCTCGAATCCTACAAGGGACCTCCAGTTTCACTAAAGCTAGATCCAGCTGTACAGCCCATAAGGGTTTAAACCTAGGAGAGTACCATTTGCTCTTAAGAGTAAGATTGATGCTGAACTGGACAAGTTGCTCCAGCAAGGCATATTAGAGCCTGTAGACTCTAGCCCATGGGAAACTCCCATTGTCACGCCTTTAAAGGCAAATGGGGACATTCGTATATGTGCAGACTACAAGTGCACACTTAACAAGGCCCTACAGCAACATGCATATCCAGTACCTGTAGTAAGCCACATTTTGGCTTCCCTTAAAGAGGGAATTTTTTTTTCAAAGGTAGACCTGGCTCAGGCGTATCAACAGTTGTCTGTTGATGATGTAGCAGCAGAGGCTCAGACTATTGTGACCCATAGAGGGGCTTTCAAGGTGAAGAGGTTGCAGTTTGGGGTGAATGTGGCCCCTGGCATTTTTCAGAGTGTCATGGAAAACACCATGAGGGGTATTCCTGGTGTGTGTCCTTATTTTGATGACGTCCTCATCGCGGGGAATTCACCTCAAACCTTGGCAGAGAGGTTAAGGGCTGTTTTGCTTCGTTTTCGAAGAGCAGGCCTTAAGTTGAAAAAGGACAAGTGTAAGACTGGTGTCCATTCTACTGATTTCCTGGGGTTCAGGATAGATGCTCAAGGCATCCACCCTTCTGATGCTAAGCTCAAAGCTATTCAGCCAGCCCCAAGCCCTAAGTCTAAGGGTGAATTACAAGCCTTTTTGGGCTTATTGAATTTCTATCATGCTTTTCTGCCTCATAAAGCTGCTATAGCTGAACCCCTACCCAGA